TAATAATACATGTATTATTTAGAAAAAAGACTGGAAGGAAAATGTGATAAAATACAATTGTTTCCTTTAGATTTATCTATTATAATTTTATATACTGGTCTTTACTTTTATGGTCAGAAAATATTATTTTGTAAAAGAAATACATGTTAGTTAATTCAAGGATTATTTTTATATTATAGGTTTTTGATTAATGATAAGCTGAAATAAGCTTCCTCAAAAGCCTCATGCCTTGTCAGATTGTCAGAGGGGAGACTCTTCCAGTGACCATGGTGCTCTTAAGCCTCAAGGGAGCATTCACACCTGTGTACTCCATCTTCATCCATTTGTCTCCTGTTATGAAAAAATGGTGATGACTGTGGGCCATGCCTGAGAAAGGCTCCTCCCTGTGGATAATCTGGACTTGGGTGGACCAGAGAGCACCAGCGCCAGACAAGGACCAAAGCAGACTTGGTGGAAGAACACAAATTTGTGACTCGCTGCTCAAAACTATACCAACTACAGTTCCTGTTAACAGGGTGTGATGCTTCCAGAACTCCGACTTGCGTGCAATATGAATCTGGAATCTTCATTCCAAATCCGCACATTGAAACTCCTGCTCCTCACACTGACGTGTGTTACTCTAGTTCCTTCTTTGCCTTGTTCCCTCTTTGTCACAGATTCCATTCTGTCTTTCACAGAGACACATAATATTGACCAGTTTTTGTCATCTCCTGTTCAAATGACTCTTTAGTACGTGACCTGAAGCACCACTGCTCACTATCCAACAGATCATTTTCCATAGTCATGAATTAAGGAAAACAAATATACATACTGAACTGTTGTTTCCCAAAAACCTGTCTGAGGTCTGGTTTTTACTGGGCTCTGTAATTCACTTTTATTATTTGTTGATATGAGACACGCACAGAAACTTCATCTCTGACCTTCATTAGAAATTAAAACAGTCCCACAGTGCCACATGAATAAGAGAGTTGGATTGGCCATGGACCTACAGAATATCCAGAAAAGTGATTTGGAAGTTACTGGGAAAGACACACAGTGTAGTGATTTCAAATTTTTGACTTATAATCATTTGTGGAACCTGTTACACATGAAAACCATAAACTCCCATTTATGATCTATCACAAATCTCACTCCAAGGTCGATATCCAACCACTTGTATCAGAACAACTCTTCATTCAAAATATAGCTTGATATACCTGGTGTGTCTTTCAGAGACCCTCCACTCCATTGTTTTAAGCAAAAATTGTTCAAATTAAAATAGTATAACTTGTTACTAATTCATTAACTCAGCAAATTAATCTACTTAAAAATAAAATATAGCCACAGCCACACTTCTAAACATGAGACTATGTGCTATAATAAACTACCCCTGTAAGTTTATAAAGCATTGCTCATTGCACGACAGAGTAGTATAAACCATATGTGTTCCTAAGGTGAGGCTTCCTCCTTACAACTCTATTGATCCCCCACCCCACCCACCACTACTTCACAGTCCTCTGATTGAAGTGATTTTTTCTTAAACTCTAAAATGAATGTAACATGATTTAAGGTCATCGACTGTGAAGCTTTAAAAAAAAAATTATTAAGTTGGGTGTGGTGGCACAAACTTTTAGTCCTAGCACTTGGGAGGCAGCAGTGTGCGAATCTCTCTCAGTTCAAGGCCAGCCTGCTCTACGTAGTGAGTTCCAGGCCAGCTGGGGCTACAGGGAGACCCTGGCTCAAAAATAAATATATAAGTAAAATATTTTATTATTTTTATTTTATGTGTATGAGTATATTACATGCATGTATGTAAGTACACTCGTGTTGTGCCATGCCTGCAGAGGTCAGAAGAGAGTGTCAGAGTTACAGATGGTTGTTAGCTGCCATGTGGGTGCTGGGAATCGAACCTAGGTCCTCTGCAAGAGCAATCAGCACTCAACTGCTAAGCCATCAATCTAGCCCCAACTGTAAAGTTTTTATTTATCTGTAGAAATGTATTGTCTAACACACAGTTTCTAAAGAAACTCCTTTATCACTTTATTGACATTTCTAGTATTGAAATAATGACATTCTGCCTTAATTTTTTGTTTGTGTATGTGCATATGTATGGTGTATATATGTGTACATGAAGATATGCATGTGTGTGTGTGTGTGTGTGTGTGTGTAAAAGCCAGAGGTCAACTTCAGGGAGTCTTCCTCAGTCACTCTATACCTTACTTCTTTTTGAGATGGTTTCTCACTGACTGTGGAACTCATCAATTCAGCTAATCTGGCTGACCAATGTGCTTGAGGAAGTCATTTGTTTCTGCCTTATCCCCTCAGTGCTAGGGTCTCAGGTGAGCACCACTGTGCCTGGCTTTTACATGGGTGCCAGGGATGGAACTCAAGTCCTCATGTTTGGGCTATTTTACCAACTGAAACTTTACCAGGCTCATACCTCATCTTCTGACTGCCTTAGTGCCTGAATAAGGCCCAGGAGCATCCTCTCTCTTCCTTTTGATTTTCACATAACTTTGTAAAATGTGATTATTTCCCCTAGGTGGGTTGACCATACTCCAGTGGATGGACCCACACTGAGGGACATTTGGGAACACCAACTTTACTGGATAGGCCTTACCATATATGATGGAATATATGAAATACAGTGGGAGGGCTATGGAAGGGGTGCAGATAAGGGAGGGGGTCTAAATATGATCAAGGTATATTGTATGAAATGCACAAAAATTCAAAAAAAAATTAATGTGATAATTTCATGTTTTTTTTTTGTTTTTTATCTATTTATTTTTTTTTAGCCAAGCTTAAAATGCTCGAAAGAGTCAGACAATCTGCCTGACTGACTGGAGTTGCAAGAACTGGGTAACTAGGCTATAAACTGAAGGGAATGCACTGCAGGTGTGTAAGTGTCAGGCCCTGGAGGCTGCCCCAAGGCTGGTAATAGACATCTTCTCTTTTAGGACACAAGGTGGCAGACTGTGTCCACTTTCATCATCCCTGGAAAGGCAGCTGTGAGAGGCTGAAATTTTCCCGTTTCAGAGACCTATGTTTGTTTGCTTTATTTTTGAAAAATTAAGATGGTTCAGATGAAAGCTGAACGCGAGGGTGGGCAAAGCACAGCCTGAGATCTGATGCAGAGGACTCTTGTGCATTTCTCCTGTGTCTGGATCAACTCCTCCAAGTCTGCATCCAAGAACACCACTGAAGAAAACATGGGCAGTACCCTATAAGATACAGGTGTAGGAAAGGACTTTATAAATCGCACATTGTAGTTCTGAAGCATTTCTGGTTTCCCTTAAATGGAGGGAGAATATATGAACTTTGTTAGTGCCGTAAGCACCCAAGTGTGGAGAGAGGAAACAAACTCTAAGCAGGGAACTGCGGTCCATAGTTTTTCCTCTAGATAACAGACAACACAGATGTCCTTTGGAACCCCACCCCCTTAATGGCCCAAGACAGCTTTGCTTTTACCTTCTCCACACCTTACGTTTTCCTCCTATCACCTCAAGTGCTTTTCATATGATCAGATCGTTCACAAGTAAAAGTTCAATATAACCTGGAATGTCAGTATTGGGTTGATTTCTATTTATTTGCAATTTAAATTCTGATATAGTTTTCTCCACTTAATTGCCTTTAGTGTTGCTTTTTGTTTTGGTAAAAAATTCATTTTTATTTAAAAATCAAGTACTAGGAATCAAAACTAATTTAGATGCTGCACAGAGTGCATCCATCAGTCAGGATGTCTGTTTTGAGTATCTGCAAGAGACAGGAGAAATAATGTCCACCCTTTCTCTCCCCAGCCTCTTTCTCTCTTTTCCTCTCTTGATACTCCTCATTTAGAAGGATGCTAGGGACAGAAGTATATTAGTAACGAATCCAGTACAGGCACCAGTCACAAAGATGGACACCTGGCATACGAAGAGTTAGTTTTCTTGCAGCTGACTCTTGAAGCAGGAAGCTGAAGGGCTGATCCCGTGGCATCTCTATGGATTAATCTGCCTCTTCCCCTTCTTCCCCTTGCTCTGCTACTGCTCATCCAGACATGCTCATGCTAAGAATGAAAGCACAAGAAAAAGGGGAACTTACCAGCTGTGTAAGTTCTTCTTGCTGGGGGTAGAGGGAAGGGTGGCAAAGGCTTTCTACAACTCCCACTTCCTTAGCAGGAGACTTAGGTCTAATTCCTAGGCCTGTTTTGTAAGATCATCATTAGCTAGAAAGTGTCTATGCTAAGGAAAGGGAAGAAAAAATAGGACTGGAAATAATACTATGTATTGGGCTGAGTTTTCATCTTACCCCTTCAACTATGTTGCTCTCCAAATCCTCCCACTGCACCCCCCCTTCCTCTCTGGATGGAGACAGTTGGGAAAAGTGGGAATATATTTGTTTCAGGAATAAAATTGGTCTCCTAGGACGTTACAAATGTGTAGCAGAGGAAAGAACATAGATGGTCATGAAATAGGAAATCTTGATTAAAGCAGAGACAGGGAAAAGCTGGTGTGAGCAGAAAGGCTGGGGAGGCACAGTCAAGCTTTGTCCAGTGGATTCATTTCATGCGCCTTACCTTTTAAAAAAGATTTATTTTACATATAAGAGTATTTTGCCTGTATGTATGGAAGTGCACCACATATGTGCAGTGCCCATGGAGGTCAGCTGAAGTTAGAGGTGGTTGTGAGCCACATGTGGGTGTTGGGAACTAAACTTAGGTGCTCTGCAAGAGCAACCAGTGCTCTTAGCCACCAAGTGTTCTCTCCTGTCCATATACATCTTACCTTTGCTGGAGGAAAAATTAATCTTGTTGCCTCTGAATGCATGTCCCATCCCCAACAGAGTATCCTATAGATCACTTAATTACAGAAATTAAAAGAAATAGTGTTTATTTTCATATCTAAAGGGCAAACAACACATACCAAAGCTCTTTTTAACATTTACAAACTATTGTAAGATGGCATCTATCCAAATATTACATATTACATAAATCTTTTCCTTTAAAAAAAGCATTATAGCTTTGAGTCATTTCATATTATGAACATGAAAATAGCAAAAATTGCCTTAGGAGACCAGGCTTGTTAGTGTGCTCAGTTCTCAGTTGTGGCCTCCACAGCCAGTGCAGAGGACTGGTGTTCAAATTGCTATCTAGCAGGGAATTCCTGGGGACTAGTCACCATCACTCTCACTTGAACTGCCACTGTCAGATGACTCACTGCTGTCACCTCTTTTACGAGGGCTGAAGCGCCTATTGGAATGGGGCCTTCGGTAATGCCAGGAGCCTCTCCTTTGTGACATCCCCTTATTCGGTGTGGAATTATTTTGTCCATGGGGGATATAATGGCTTTTTCTGCTGTGTGTTATTAAATTCTCCTCATTACTGGGGCTACTGGAGGAATCTATTTCATTTCTAATTTCATTATCAAGACCATGGGAAGGAATAAGCAGGCCCTGACCCTTGCCTTTGCCAGAAGATCTTTGTTTTTCAGTCAAGGTCACTTGGTTCCTGTTATGTTCCTGAGCCCCTTTTCTGGAACTGCCTTTGCCATTTTTAGGAATTTCATTGTAGCTGGCACTCTTGGAGCTATGGCTGCCGCCTTCTGCTGTCTTCTCTTTGGAGGGAACTCGTGGATAATGGAATTCTACTTTCCCTTGGTGAGCGTTTTGGCTGCCGGCATCCACTCTGTGTCCCTCCTTTCCAGGGAGTTCCCTAAAATTGGTACTGCCTGTGATTTCATTGCTACCCTCCACAAGGCTCACCCCAGCAGCTCCTACCTCTTGTGTAGTTTGGTCCTTGGTCCCAATTGCATTTCCACCATGTTCTCTCTCTGGGATCTCGTTAGAACCCAACTCACTTGTGTGAGGCTTAGACATCTCTGCTTTCCCAGAGCCTGAGAGCCCTGTGTGACTTGTTGTGCTCTCTCGGGCATGACCAAAATCTCCTTTGCCAAGAATGTTTTTAGAAGGCTGCCCATCCCCACTGAAAGGAGGGACATCATTGTCCCCCCTCTCCGGAAGATCTGGGAAACCACTGCCTTCAAAGTCACTGGGGATTTTTCGGATCTTGGGGAGATGTTTTCGGTAGTGAGTGCTTCTTCGGATCTGACGGGTGCGTTTGCTTTTTACCGGGCTATTCTCAGCTTGTAGATATCTTTGATAATTCTTTTCATCTTTGGAGTGGGTTTTAGCATCGTTGACATCTGCTGGAATTGTGCCTAGAACATTCCAAGGTTTCTTCTCTTTGTTTTTGTCTGTCCACAATTCAGTCCCAGTCACTGGCCTCTTTATATGCTGTTGCATGTTAATTCTCATGAGGGCTGCACCATACTCTTCCTGGTCATGTGGATTGTTGAGACCATCGTCTCCACCCTCAGTCCCTTTATCCCGTGTGGACCCAGGATACACAGACATGGTTAGGTCCCTGTGGGTGTTCCCTTTGCTGCTGATGCTGTAGTCTTCATTCAGCATCTCTTGATATGCAGAAAGATTTGGGGCTTTTCTACTTTGGTTATTTTCATTGACTTCAAAAAAGGACATGTTTTTCTCTCTTCCCTGGGTAACTATTCCTTTAGGTGTTAGCTCTTGATTTCTCCTCTTGTCAAAATGGTGACTTCTTTCTTCTTCCTGCTGAAGTGAAATTTTAGCACAAAATGATTATTTCATGTTAAATTTTGAAAATCTGATAATTCATAAGAAAAATTTAAAAACCTATTATATATTTAATAAAAAGTCAGTAACTCTCTAAAGTTCTGGAATGAGCCAAAGCCTGTTTTGTGGAAAAAGAAGGATGAGGCAGGCTTGATGGCTAGGTAAGATTCAAATACGCAGGAGAGAAAGAGGGAGGACATTTCAAGAGTAAGTGGCAGATCAACTTTTTACATGTGTTGGCATTTGTTGAGCACATAAGCATCTCGGTAATGCGAGTTAAGGATATGAGTAGGTGAAAGCTCCCAGATGGAGGAGAAAAAGGAATGAGCTGGAAACCTGCACTTTTAGGAAGTGTGGGGAGGACAAGAAAGAAGATGGTAAAGCCAGTGCAGGCAAGCCATGGTCTTAGTGACTAGCACTGGATGAGGTGGACAGAAGTGGCCAGATGGCTTTTAATCCCTCATGCCAGAGCTCATGTAAGTAGCTGTGCAATGGGAGTGCTCAGCAACTAGAATCAGTCACGTAACTCTGCCCCTTTGGGATTGTGTGATTTTGGGACACTTAGTTCTTTGAGCAGTAGACATTTTAGTTATAAAATAAGAAAAATGATACCTTTTTCTCAGGTATCATTTCTCTTAAAATTCTTTCAGGAATTTTAAGAGAAATGATTTAATAAATGACATAATGCAAGTAAAGCATCTAGCACGTATCTATCCTAAAGCACGTTCCATATAAAGGGTAGGAAGTAGCACTTTGTGGGGAGCTGTGTGCACCCTTTTATGGAATGGTAACTTGTTTTCCTACACGATGTTAATGATGGTCATTTGGTCAGAGGATACACAACTATCCTCCCAGTCTCTAAACTTTTCTAACTTGGATGTAGTGGCAGGTAGCAATGGACTCCTGGAACCCTTCACCCATGCACTGCCTGAATGTTGCCCTCTGGCTGTGGGTTCTGCCATGATCACATATTATCTAAAATAAGGTTTTGAACCCCTGTTTATCTCTAGATGAGAATACTGTTTTAGTTGTGTGACTGCCTGCTTTTTAAAAAGTCTCCCCCCACACTCTGTGTGTGTGTGCGTGCGTGTGTGTGTGTAGGTACATGCACCTATGGAGGCCAGAGGATGGCACTAGCTGTCATTACTCTCCCCTTTATTGCCTTGAGACAGGGTCTCTCGTTGAACTAGAAGCTCCCCATTTTGGTTAGGCTAGGTGGCCACAAGCTCTCAGGATCCACCTGTCTCTGTTCTCCCCAATGCTGGGGTTACAGGCACATACAACCATACCTGGCTTTTTATGTGGGTGCTGGGTATTTGAACTCAGGTCCTTATGCTTGCCCAATAAGCACTCTTAACCCACTGATATCTTCTTAGCCCTTGACTGTTTAATTATTTTTTCTTTCTCTCTCTCTCTTCTTTCCTTCCTTCCTTTCTTCTTTTTTCTTTCGTGTGTGTGTGTGTGTGTGTGTGTGTGTGTGTGTGTGTGTGTGTGTGTGTGTGTGTGTGTGTGCCATAGCACACATATGGAGGTCAGAGAACAACTTGCAAGAGTTGGTTGTTCCCTTCCGCTTGTACATTCTGGGCATGAAGTGCAGGTCATCAGGCTTGGTGGCAAACCTCCTTATGTATTGTGCTATCTTACCAACCCTCTTGCCTGACTTTATCTCTGTAGCTTATTACCAATTGTTGGGAGCTGTGGGAAACTGCATCAGCTCACACTTGAAATCTCAAGGTAAAAATGGTTTGGAAAAGTACATGCTGTTCTTTTAAAATTTGTTACTATGAAATATGGAAAAGTGCCAACTTGTAAGATAAAATTTGAAATCATTTGCAGGTGGAAATTATGACACCATCATTCACTAGCTTTTATATTTCTAGGTGTATTCTGAAAATAGGTAAAATTTTGCTATGAGAGAAATATCAAAATACTAGTAATTCACTTTCTTCAATTTATTATTTATTTATTTTATTTTGTTTATTAGTTTATGATTTATTGTTTTATGATTTATTTTATTTGTGTGTATGTGTGTTTGCCTGCATAAGTTTATGTGCACCATATTTGTGCAGGAGTCCTCAGGGGCCAGAAGAAGGTGCTGGATCCCCTGGAACTTTAGTCATAGGCAGTTATAAGCCATCATATGGGTACTGAGAACCAATGTCCACTATAAGAGCAGTAAGTGCTCTTAACTGATGAATAATCTCTCCATCCCAGTGATGTACTTCTGAATAAAAAAAAATATTCTAAGCATTTGACTTAGCTTTGTCCATTGAGTCTTAGAACATTTGGCTTGGCTTGTGTTTTCCATTGCTATCAAGTTTGTTTAATTATTACTGATAGAACATTTTGAGTTAAACAGGTGTGTTAGAAAAGTCAGTATAGTATATTATTCTTTTCTTAGTTTTTTTCTCTCCCTACTCTGAATTAGAGAATTTTATTTCGTTTTTGCTGTTTCTATTAGTTTTTTAAAAGGTAGCATTTTTACTAACAACTTGCATACATTCATTGGAAGACTGAACAAATTTCTTTTGTAAAGAAATGCATGGGACACTTTTCTGACTTTGATATAAGATCACTTTAACTGTTTTTGAGAGAAAATATTTTTAAATACAAAAAGCTTTCTTTTCTGCATTTGCTGGTGTGATTTCTGCTTGCATCACTGATTGCACAACATGCTGAGTCACTTGGCTGGTCTGCTCTGCGTCTGTCCTTAGTTCAATGTACTTTCATTGGAGAATGGGCTCGCCCACTCACTTCTGTGTTCTCTAATCATACTGATCCTACTTCATTATTTTCATCACATAGCTTTTCCTGAACACCAAGCAGGAACTAATCTCTTCCTACTCCAAGCCCCTCACACGGGCTCTTTTTGGCAGCACTCACATGACGTGTTCCACATCCTGTCTTGGGTTCTAGTACCTCTTGTTTCTTTTCTCTGGGAGAGAAAGAATTGCATTTTCACAGTTATTTTATCATGTACAGTATCTTACACAAGAGAAAGCACTTAACACATATGTGTCACAACAAATACATTTTCACTAACTGTAACAAGCAGTTAGATGCAGTCTTAAGGATTGCCATCTAAGGGCTATGGAGCAGAAGAACAGAAAATTCTGAAGGGAAATTCTTACTTCCACAGGAAATGAAGCATATTTGGAAAAGTAAATAATCCTTTAGCTGTTGGCATTTTAAGCTGTTTCCAGCTCTTTTGGCAATGACTCTGCAGGGAGAGACTGAGTGAAAAGAGTTATTGTCATCCTGCTGACAAAGACCTCATTCACTCTGTTCTGTGCATCCCAACACAGATGACGCCATCCATGGAATGAATTTAAGATACAGTGTCACGTATTACTCTTTAGGACAAGATGATTTCTCCTGCTGACATACTTCCCTTGGAACTCTACACTTAGAATATATAGTAATGTATGTCCAGAAAACCTCCTTATAAGAACCAAATGCTATTCAGACACAGCAGCATAGCAACTGTGGCCATCGAGGTCCTGCAGCAGCAGGTCCTGAAGAAGAGCATGACTTAGGCTAAAGTACTGGGTGGGGATCAGGAAGATTCTGGAACACAGACTTGAGAAGTACAGAGGCTTGAGCATCTGGGGATGGTAGGGAAGGGATGAAAGTTGAGACCTACAGCTGGAAACCTTAGAGAACTTTGTCTCCCCTGTAACTTTCCCTAAGGCTCGGCCAGAGTATGTCTTATGTAAAGGGTTTTCACCTAAAGATCCACCTTACCTTTATGTTGGTTTGGTTTTTCTTCCCAGGTAACATGCAAACATGCTTTCATGGTGACCCTTGTTCATGATATTATATCACCATTATATTATGGTGAGTTTGTCTCTAACTGAAATTTTCTGGATTTCTTCCTAATAATACTACAAGATACCTTTAATTTGGGAGAAGGCAAATTCTGCCTTTGACAAATGATAGTACTTCTTATAACCACAAGAGGGCGAATGTCAGCAACCCCAGAAGCCAGAAACATATTCGTCTCTCATAGAAATCTTGAAATAGGTTTTTCCTCTTTGTGACTGTCAGCTGTTTATCATACCAGGGTGTATCAGTCTTACTAACATATGGCAATGGAAATGAAATCTGTAGACTATTTTCAGGTAGGTGGTAGAAGGGCATTAGGAAAAAGGCAGTTTTACAATGCTCGTGTTTGATGTCCAGCTGGCATGATTTACCACATGAACATTTGGGCTTGTAGTTTCTAGTTTGGGCCTTTGTAATTTTCAGCTGAGACACAGAACAGAAGATTGTTAGTTTGTAACCTGAGACTGCCAGGAAAAAACTATGGCACACAGAAATAAGCTATAATTTCATGACATGCAAAGCTGAGAGTATTTGCTTAACTTTCTTGATGCATGAGGAAAACTAATTCCATATAAACAGAATTCTCTGTTAAAGCCTGTTATCCACTCCCTCCATCACTGCTTTATCTATCAGTTTGTTTTCATATACGATATGTGGGAAATACTGTTTGCTAATAACAATGTCCCAGAATTCTTGCTAATCTCTTTGAAAGTTGTATAGCAAACCATTGTTTCATTTGAAGGACTCTTGGGGACTGGCATGATGACTTAGCTCCCTACACTTCCAGAGGATCGTAGCAAACCATTGTTTCATTTGAAGGGTGAAACTGCACTGAAAAGAAATCATCAATATTTGGACTCTTGGGGACTGGCATGATGACTTAGCTCCCTACACTTCCAGAGGATCCATGTTCAGTTCTCAGCACCCAGGTTGGACAAATCACAACTGTCTGTAACTCCAGCTCCAGAGGATTCAACACCTTCCAGCCTCCATGGGCACCTGCCACACATGGCATACACTCTCACACACATAAACAAACAAACAAAAATCTTTAAAAAAATATATTTGGAATTTTTTCTATCACACACTGTGGGAATTAAAATGCCAGATTAACTAGAAGGTGCCAAATTCTGTTGGATAATTTTGTTCTTCCATCCTAAGAACCTGAGAATATTTTGATAGTTAAAATTTTCTCCTGTTGACTTTTTTTCTTTACAGAACTAAAATAGTCACTTGAGAAGAATAATTCTGTTTACCCCCTACTCTTCTACACAGCCTTGCCTAGTTTTCACAGTCTGTGGTTGAAATGTCTGCAAGGGAAAAAGGAACTCAACTTTGCCAAACAGAACATTCTCTCATTCATTCTTCAAACAACAAATGCTTGAGTTATTTTTCTTTCACTGGGTTGAATTATTCAATGTGGAAAATAATTCTGGCCAAAAGAAGATGGGCCTACCTTTTCCTAAATGTTCATTTAAGTGTAAAGGAGAGCACTATCTTCCTCCCCCACTGGAGTGCCATCTCAACTACAGAACCAGATTCCATCATGAAGTGCCCCTGTGGCATGATGAGAGAAGGTGGGCATGGCACTCAGTGAAGGAACTTGGGGCCATTGGAATCCTCATGGACAAAAGGCTTTTATTTGCAAACCTGAGACGTAAAGTATAAATGAAGTAAACTTAGAATTCCATGCTGTGATTTTTATGTGCACAATGATTCAACGACTGTGTTGAATTAAGATATGGTGGTGCTGAGGGTCCACAAACATCAACCATAGCCCTGCATGCGAAGATATGCTCAGTGATGGCCCTCACTGTTGCCGGGAGCTTGGTAAGACATTTCATTCAGGTAGGGACAATGAATGTGGAAGAACTAGCGTGGTGGGCAGATTGGACAAATTCTCTTGGATTGATCTGAAAATGCCAAGCTTGGGGATGAGAGGTTACTACTGAACTACATCAAGGCTGCAAACTGAGGAACAGATACAGGTAGCTGTTCCAGGCCTTAGACTGAAGGTATTATGGGATAGCACAGAAGGTATAGAATCTAAGAATCCTGGAACAAGTTTTCCGGGAGAAAAATGGATGTAACAATTCTTCAGTACTTAGTATTTCCATTTGTTTATTTACTTTGGAAACGTCTAACTCATCTCTGATGTGGCAAAGGGAACAAATGAGTGGACTGTTCTGTTTCGATGTGTGTGCTAAAGGTGAAACAGACACCATAAAGGACCCGTCACAGCAGAGAAATAAATCTCCGGGGGGGGTGGGGAGACAAGAAAAGCAGTCTGAGGATCACCAGATCCACCTGTCCTATCCACTTAGACAGTGCTCTTCCTAAATAGAACTTGCTGGCATGAAATTTTGTTTTTCTGGCTGGACTCTAATTGATAAAAATCATCATAGAAGTAGAAACTCACATGTTTCTTAATGGGCTTCAGTGTTTAGAGCCTAAGAATTTGCCTAATATTCTATTTCATTTAGGGACAATGATTTGTCAATAACACCTTATGTGGGGCTAGAGAGATGGTTTAGTGATTAAGAGCACTGGTTGTTCTTGCAGAGGACCTGAGTTAAGTTCCCAGAACCCACATGGCAGCTAACAGCCATTCATAACTCCAGTTCCAGGGGATCTGATGTCCTCTTTTCACCTCCACAGGCATCGCACAACATGGGTGCACTTACATACATGCAGGCAATACACTCATACATGTAAAATAAAATAAAAAATAAAATATTTTAAAACACCTTATATTTATAGGAAACAACGTATTTACAGAGCACTTCACAGTTTGCAAAGGGTTTTTGCATAAAAAAATTCACTTGAGGCTCATAGTAACCCCAATGAGATGAGCAGTACAAGAAACCAAGTTGCCAATAGGGACACCGCTGGTACTAGCAGCAGTAGAAGAAGCATTCTAGCCTGGCACCGCTGTCTGAAAATCCAAAGGTAAAAATGATTAAAATTTCCTGAAGTTCATGTTAAATGTCTTCAAGATATTTCATAATTTTATTCTTTATTACATTTCTTTACTATGCTGGCTCTTATGTGATTTTGTAAATGCAAATTTAAACTTTTATTTCACTTTTACTAATGCCAAAAGGGAGCTATAAGAAGAAAAAAAAATGGAAAGGATACATATTAAGCAAAAATGTACAAAAGTATGGGTATCTTCTAATCAAAAACACACATGCATACTTACACGTATTTGTGACTGTGTTTAAAATACACTGCCAATATAGAGTACCTGAGTATAGCTCATGATTCACTGTGACAGGTCAAAGTCTTTCTAACCTAATTGTATATTGATTAATTAAATTGCATGGCTCAATAATCATCTTCTATTTTCTCAGACTTTAAAATTGTTTGGTATTTGGCTTATAAGACATGCAAACAACCTAGTATATACTAATTTTTATACCATTGATTTATTATTAAATAATTGAGGTAATTGCTAAAGTGTATATAAATTTTGTCTCTGTGCCCTTGCTGAGATTATTTTCTGTGGAATCTGCATTATTCCCTGCTCCCCTGACACACACTTGGCAGTTGTCCTGGCCTTGATGGTGGCCCTGTAATAGATATGACATCGTCCTCCTCTAGCAGGAAAGCTGGCAGCCTCTTTAGACTAGTGGTCACCAGACTGACTTTGGCATTGCACTTTACTGACATTGGTCAGAAAGGACCACTTTGTTCCCTGGAATGTGCAGCTCAAAATAAACTCATCCTCAGCTGGTTGGACTGCACTGGGTCAGCAAGACCCACATGACCACCACTTGCCTCAGTGCACACTTCTATGGTTCTGACTGACCTAGGTCATGTGGATTAGGTGGGACAGGATTGATTCAAGCCGTACAGCCCCTGACTGTGTGAGGATGTGGACCAAGGATCAGCATGATTTCCTCTGTTTCTGTGCTTTCATCTGATGGCATGATTTATCTTTGCCAGTCTGGTTACCCAGCGACTCGCCCACTTGCTTCATACCTATATTTAAGCATGGTTGGCAATGGCATGATGACTTGTTTCCTTAGTTCCCAAACTAAGTTTAAGAAGCTAGGACCCTGTTGAGACATTATCTAATTAGCCCTATGTCTGCATTGCAGAAAATGTCTGCAGTACTCAGCATTGTCACAGGATAATTTGGTTACATCCTGAGTACTCATCTGGGTGGGTCAGAAGAAGATAGAAGGGGCAACAGAAGCTTGATTAAGGTTAAGTTTATGGGTACCAGGTCCGTTCTTAGCTTCACTGTAGCAGAGACCGCCATTGGCAGGATCCTACAGTACCAAGATGTTGCCGGGAATACAGAAATACGCTTGTTCCTTTGCAGGGCCGTCTGTTTACAAAATGTAGTTGGTTAGCTTTAAACATTCATGTGATGTTCTTCAAGGTTCTGGTAAAATATTATAAGGTTCTTTGACATGCTATAATTTCAGTGTTTGAATATAGCTCATTAGTCTCAAGTGATTTGAAATGCTTTTCTCAAATACTCCTGAAAAGGCGACATGGTGATATCCTGTAATCTTTATGAAGTGGCAGGCTTCTAAGCTTCCTATTTCCTTAATACTTTATTATAACTGAATTAGCTTAATGATACTAACTTAAATAAGTATTACTTTTAAAAACACAAAGATTATATAAAATGCAAATGAATTTGTAAATACTTACTAGTGCTGCCCAGGCGACACTAAAAAGGAGCAGTCCAATATAGACAGCTTGCATCTTTAGGAATCGCTCTAAAAAGATAGTAACCACTTATGTAAGCAGTGCCAATTATGAATTACAGCTGTGAATACATATATATATATATATGAAAATATCTCTCCTCAGAAGTTCATTTCCTTTTAACACATAGTTACATATTTTATATGATTGTATCTATAAAATTTACATGTACATAAATGTATTTTGTGCCATTAGTTTATAGTCAAGTGTTGAAATTTAATCTGATTTTCATACATCTAGTTATTCTCATGTGGAAATGAAATTCATTGATTGTAATTAAATCAATGGTCAGCTCATGGAAATGAATTTTATAGGCATATAATTATTTGCTCTATTGTTAACCTGGCATTTTTCCTCTTGTGTTTAGAAAAGCATTATTAAATGCTTGTAAATACAAAGTGGCAATAAAGCAATATAGCAGCTCATAACTTATTTTTATGTGTATCAAGGTGGCACATGAAATGTGAGGAATGAAATGTTAGCCAATTCTAGGCTAGTACCCCAATGTACACCCTGCTCATTACCATCTTTCTGAATTAGTCACTATACAGGGTGAAACAACTCCAGCAACTGTTATAGTAATAATAGCACTTATTAAGTACTGAAATGAGTCAAGCCCCATCCTAAGAGTAATGCAGTTATTTGAGTACCACAACAACTTTATGAGTGATGGTGGCTTTACTCTGTTTTATAGATTAGTAAACAGACACAGAACCGTCAAATAATGCATGAATATTGAGGAACAGAGTTGGGATTGGTATTCTGGCAAAATAGCTGTAAAGTTACTGTTTTTTTGTTGTTTTGTTTTTAGGGGGGATCTTTTTGAGACAGGGTCTCCCTGTAGTGCCAGCTGGCCTTGAACTCACAGAGATCTGCCTGCCTCTGCCTCCCAAGCGCTG